GTCTGGGTTGATTTCGGGTTTGCCCTTCACCTAGAATAGTTACCAACCAAGGAATAGTGACAAGCGTGTAATGCTATTTAATCATAGCTGGGGGGAGAAGAGATAGATTCATACCTTTCTGACTATTATTTGTGCGTAAATCAATATAATGAACTCGATTGGAATTCGAAATAGGCTTCCCAATTTTACCTTTCGCTACCCATTATACCATCCGCAAACCCACACTTACAGGCAAGGCATCTTCTATTCTTAAGCGCTTACATCTAAAGGTATTTACCAATCTCAAATTTGCGGTGATGGAAAGAAAAACGTGTGTGTGCCTGTATATATATATATATATATATATATATATATATATATATATATATAGGTAGATAGATAGACAGATAGAAAGAAAGAAAGAAAGAAAGAAAGAAATGAGATAAATATAGTTTTAAATTATGATATTTTTATAAGTTAAATGATTGGACTGAGTGTATATAAATATGAAAGTGGACATTACGCTAAGCCCCACAGCGCCGACAGTTTGTTTCATGCAAAAAGAGACTGTCGCCGCTGGGTGTTGACCTCATTGTTCAACACACACACACACACACATATATATATATATATATATATATAGATATATATGCTGCATTTATATATATATATATATATATATATATATATATATATATATATATATATGTGTGTGTGTGTGTGTGTGTGTGTGTGTGTGTGTGTGTGTGTGTGTGTGTGCAGCATAGACGTATTTTGTCATTTTTATTTTAACTTTAGTTCTTTTAAGTCCATTTAAATAATTTCTTGGTGGCTGTAAAAATTAGATAAAAAAAAATTCCAAAATTTTTTTCATATAATTTTTATTTTCAAGAAATTCCAATCTCATTTGAGACCATATTCATTGAGTCAAAATATCTGTGGATGCCTATACAGCAGTTCCGTAAATTCAAAATACATATTATGTCTATTTATTTTAGTTTTAGTCCTTTCAATTACACGAAATAATTTTTTGGTTGTCGAAAATTGATCAAGAAAAATACCAAACATTCTTTCAAATAATTTTTATTTTCACTAGTATTTTAATTCTCATATGAGACTATATTCAAGCGGTTAAAATATTTGTGGATATGTATGCAGCAGTTCTGTATGTCACACTATTAGTTTACTGGTCATTTACAGCGTTCTAAATTCGATTATACAAGTGGGCGTAAATTGTAATATTTTATTTTAATATTTAAAAATAAAAAAAAAGAGTTTTTTCACTTTTAGTATTATATATGAAACATTTCTTTTACAAGCATTTAAGAACTTTTCGCCATATTAATAGTTTACTTTATTTATTCATGACCGCAATTGTCTTATATAACTGGCTTCCAGAATTGTAAGTATTTGCATATTATTATTTTGATGAAGTAGTAATCTATTTTCAATAAATAATGTCTAAAATATGAATGCGGATATGAGTATTCCTTTAAATGTTCTGAGATTGAACTATGCCGTTAAAGTAAATCACAAGCCGTCAACATCATTGGTGTACAACTAACGCTTGCATTAAGAATTTTATCAGACATACAATCTCTCAAAAGAAACTTAAACTGATATACAATGTTGGTCTTTTGTAAGATGCTAAAATTGTTTTGGATGACTAGGTTGCCTATCTTAAATTTCGTATAGTATATAATTAATTTTATTTTATATATGGATCAAGTATATATATATATATATATATATATATATATATATATATATATATTATAATTTTATCATATAGACAATAACAGTTTACACACTGCAAAGATGCAGTTTCGTTTCGGAGCATTCTGTGGATCTTTGGTTCTCACTCGTCGAGGTGCAATTGAAATGCACCGAAACGAAGTTGCATCTTTGTAGTGAGTAAACTATATGATAAAATTATAATAATTATCGCCCTACTATCGGTATCGAGAACTTTTTTGGGGATTAATGTTGGGAACTTTAGAATTCATATATTACTTTCGTTCTCATTGCATCGGGTATATATATATAATTTAAAGAAAAACAGACCACTTTAAGGCTCCATTTGTTATAATTTATTTCACCAGAGAATATTATTTTTTTCTGGATCTTCAGACATCACTTTCAAAGGTGAAAGGAAAAATTGAATTTAAAATTTACCCTTTTGACGGGAAGTATCAAGCTTATATAAGTTGACATAGAAGGTGGTGAGGAATGGTGTGTTAGACATGGTCGAGTTTAGAGAGGAAAGTGAGAGTTTTAAAATTTATTTTTAATTTTCTTTTTATTACAATACTTTATATTGAAGAAGGAGGGGGTAACGATCAGCCATTGAACTATATAATCGGTCAACTCAACGGAAATGATATGAGGAAAAAAAAGGAAAAAAAAGTGAAAAGTAAAAAAAGAAAAGGAGGAGGGAAATAAAGGGGTACGATATAAGAGATATACGTAGGGTTTCTAGAGGAAGAAGAGGGGTGGTATAGCTTTACCAATTTAGATAAACACAGATTTTAACGTTTGATAGTAATTAAAATGTTCAAAACTTCTACAAAGAATTTACATTTAATGCTTGTTAGCAATTTCAATATTAAACTTCTCCATATATATATATATATATATATATATATATATATATATACGCAAAAGAAAATAGACTGGACGGCATTTTACCTTTAGTAGACGATTTCGAGTAAGACTTTATTCCCTGTTCATTCCCTGTTTACAAGTGTGTCATTGATTATTTTTCTATGTGCGAAAGTTCTCCTTTTGATAAAGTGTTGGTCGATATTCTAATGGTAATATGATGACCTTTCTATTTAAGCCTATATACATCATAATACCATCATAAAATGATTATCAAATTGGTTCTACTGACCCACAGAGAATAACGGCTGTTGTCCATGCTACAATTGATCTTCGCACACTATTCAATGTCCTTGCCTTCTTTGCTCTCATCTTTTGTATCTAATTGGCCAGTGACAATGTCTATTTTGTTTAGAACGCTGTGTATCAACTGATTTGTTGTGCCACAAAAAGTTGGTAAATCTGTTTAAATTTTTAATTGACTATCAATTCCCATTTTATATTTAGACAGTTCAAAGTTTTAATGTTTAATGCCAGTTTTTTTTACACTGTCAACTAAACGATATTTAACGTCACTAAATGTGATGTTTTAGGTGTTTATCAATTGGCTTTCAATTATCTTATAATTATGTATCAATTAGAAGATTGTTGAGAACTCCGAGGTCTTGTTGTCACTTCTCATTTTTATTTAGTGTCTACAATTCTAGAAAGGCGGAATTTTACTTTGTTTATCTCCTTTATGCTTTTCAGTTTGATTCTACGTAGCTAATTGTTTTTCTTCTTTGGTTAATTTTTATATTTTACTTTTTTTATTCTCCTCCATTTTATTCTCTATACACCAGTATTTTCTGATAATTTAAGTTTTTGTTGTCTGATTATTTTCTTTTTTCCATTCCTTTTTCCCCTCTACACACTTCCGTTCCTTTTTGTTTTCATCTTTTTTGTGGATGTTTCCTTCTTTTTACATATAATAGGTGCCATAAGTTTTCTATTAAAATAATGTCTAGATAGCTTTGGCCGCCATTATACCTTTGAATATGTTTTTTTTTTCTTTTTAGGAAAATGGGCAGTCATCCGCTTTGCTGAATATGAAGAAGCATTGTCATATATGAATATACATTTTTGATAAGTATTTAGAACTTGTAATAACTCTGCCTCTGTTTCAAAATAATAAAACCTTTGAATAAAACTCTGATTTATAACCTACTAAAAGGGAAAAACGACTACAGCTCGTAGCTGCTTTGGCCACAATGTTTTGGGTTGAATATTACCATAAAGAACCTATCTTATTAATCATTCATCAAGTACATCAAAATTAGCCCTACATACATCGCTATAATTAATGTTGGGAAAACAGTTTTAATATGTATTTTTTTAGCTAAATTCCAACTTTTTCCACTTTGAGGTTTACATAAAGATTGTAGTTTAGTTGTTTTGTATCGAAATGTAATGTTCTAAATATATTGTCTTCTGTTTAGATTCACAACACCAGCTTTTTTTTAAAATATATTACTTTGTAGCCAATTGATTTCCATGTTTTTTTAAAATTTACATTTTTCTGGAATCTAAGTTTTGATATTCTTAATGTCACATATTTTACTCTTATCTCGCCAATGTATTCAGTTTATTGAATTGGTTTTCGCTAATCTCTGTTCAACAATTCCCAATTTCCAAATCTGTAAGTTTTGTGGTTATATATTTCTTTAGACACATGATTAACTTTATCATGTTCTTAATAATCTGTCTCATTTCCCTTTGTTTAAATACGAAAAACAAGTTTATTTTTAACTATATTTCTTGATAGCCAATTGATTGTTCTTGCTTATTACAATTTATTTTTTATATATAAATATTTCCAGGAAAAGAGAAGCGGTGATGAATGAAGTCAAGCATTACAGCAGAAGAAGAAGCAGACGTGTAAATAATTAAATTTAATGTTCCAATTGTTGGAATTTCTGGGTATCCTGTGGTACTAGTGAGCCAGCCAAAATGAGCTGACTCATTTTATAGTTGACCAATAGAAGGATTAACCAATCAGAAGGCTCAGAATATTCAATGCGACGTGTATAAAGACGGCCATGTTTTTTTTCCGGGTACTCACTGCCAACCTGTGATATCGAAGATTGAAGAATTACGGAACCGCTTCTGGTAATTTTTAACGTTGTTTCATTGAACAGATTAAATACTGCGTTGTATTCTATATTCATAGACTTGGCGATCATGGTCAACTACAATTTCTAGCTTCCGGGTTGTTACATGGATTATCTCTAGGCGATTAAAGCGTTGGTTTATGAGTATAGTGATATAGTAAAAGGGAATTCACTAACGTGCCCGGATACTTAGACATCGTGTAAACAGAACGAGCGAAAACTGATCAAAACTAAAAAGGAACCAATCAGGATATACCAATATATTTACAG